ATATGTTAAAATTTAAATGATAAAAGAAGATTAAAGAAGGTAAAGGAAGAAAAGAAAAATAAAAGGGTTCTAAAATAAAAACATCATCCAAATTTAGATAAGTAAAATTTCTAAATGTTAATGTGAAAAGGAAAAAGAAACTAGTTTCACTAGTGTAGAAATAGCCTTTAACGTCACCCCTTAGACGTCGGATCATACAATATCCAACGTAAAACATTAACTGTTGGCATTTTAGTAAATAAGTTGGCCTTGGCGACGTCAGTTCATGGGGGGCCCGACGTCTAGACGTCGGTTACAAGTGCATAACCGACATCTATACATTAAACCACAACAGTTCGTACAATTAGACGCCAAAAAGGGAGCGCCAGAATGTGAAAAGTCATTTTTTTCGCCATTTAAACGTCGAATCCCACTACACCGACGTCTAGATAGTCATTAAGACGTCGGTCCCCCTTACATCCGACGCCTAAATGGCCTGACAGGGTAGGTGAAAAGTTGTTTTGGACGTCGGCTCCCCTTACATCCGACGTCTATATACACCGCGAATATTAATTTTTAGGTTTAATAGCCTATTTTGTCCCCAGTTTTGCTCAATAATGTCAATTCAGTCCCTCATTTTAAAAGTGTTTGAAAGTGTTCCTTAGTTATTAAAATTTGCGTCAAAATCGTCCCTTCCGTTAAATAAAATCAAACGGAGTTAAAGCATTGATGATCTGGAATAGTGCAGTGATAACATGTCAATTTAAAGTTGTATCATGGTGACAGTTATATGTTAACGTGTAGAGTTTTTTTAATTGGAAAAAAATTAATTTAGGGCACTACCACGTCAAACTCCTTCTCCTCCAAAATTGGCCCCAATTCGTCTTCACATTCCTGGGCTCCTTCTTCTGCGACGCCACCGTCACCACCGCTAACCCCTTGAAACATTCAAGCTTCTTCTTTAAAAGCTTAAGCTTTCTTTCTGCTTTGTCTCTTAGTTTAATCTCTTCTTTTAAGCTTCTTTTCCAGCTCATTAAACTGCTAAAACCCAAGATTTTTATTTTCAATTTTAGGGAGACAAAAATAAATTCACAAAAGAAAATTTATCTAGTAAAAACCAGAAAGTTATGTCATTTTGTTTTCCTAATCTAAATTATCTTAAGGAAACAAGAAACAACGTATGAAAATGACCTTGTTGCATAATGATTCTGTTTGTTCTTTGGCAACCTTTGAAGCCTGTCTCTCTGCTAATAATCTCCCTCTGAGGCACTCGAGAGCAACCCACCCATCATGTTCTTCCGTTTTCTTGCCACTAATTACTCAAAACAATGCGAATTCCATTTTATTTTTTTTCTTGGCAATGAGATAACCCATTTGAAAGAAGGTCCGTGAGAAAGAGAATTGAGAAACCCACCTCTATGTGTGATTCTGCTTGACAGTGGCAGGTGTTATTGGCTTGTTCTCTATCCTTTGGCTGCAACAAGTTGTCCTCTTTATGTGTTGTAGACAAGTACTATTGCTGCAACAATCACCGTAGGACGCCTGTGTTATGATGTGTTTGGCGTTGGAGGTCGCGGCTTGCTTGGCCACCTCCGCCGGAGTGTAGAAGGGGTTAGTAGTGATGACGAACGACTCCAACCAGTACTCTTATGGACGCGTCTTCTATCCCACAAAAGTTCTCATCACAAAACTTCTTCCAATTCCTCATCCTCATCCATCACTTCATTCTCAACCTCTTTTGTCTTCTCTGTCTTGCCGCAAATCACTACCAGTCTTTGCTCTGGCCTCGCCTTCGTCCTCTACAACACCACCAACCCTCTCGGGGCCCTCGCCAGATAGTACTTCGGCCTATTCACCAACGCCACCTCCCCCACCTTTTTCCCCCTTGTCGTCGTCGAATTTGACACCAGCTAACGAGGGAGTTGAACACAACACGGGGAGGTTCCCAACACCACACGAGTGGTAGGGACGCTGGGTTACTTGGCGCTGGAGCTGGCCACGGTTTAATACGCGAGTAATTTTGGGTTGTTCCTTTGTTCTTTTCTGCAGGTCTTGGATAGGATGTTTAAGTTTGGGGTTCTTCTTCTTTGCAGATCGGCAATGCGAATTAGGGTTTCAATTTGGGACTTTGTGGTCTTGTTCTTGGGTTCTTAATTGGGAATTTCTTGTGTATCTGCAATTACAATGAATGAAATTAAGGTTGTGATTTTGTTCTATTTCGTTTTTCGATTTGCGAATGTGAGATTTTCCGTTTTGAGTTTGGGTCTGGGAGTTTTGTTTGATATGCGTTTGAGTTTCTTTGAGAGCTTGGTTGCGTCTACGTTGGGTTTGACCATGAGGATGTCCACCTTCGAGGTATGGATGACAGTGAATCCTTAGGCTAATCCAGGTTGAACCTAGATGGGGAAGCTTCCCTAGCCAACCTCTCGCATGAGTCATAGAGAAAGGGAACGAAGCATCTCTATTGTGCCAGCCCAATAATGACATGTAAGCATTATATGTTGCCAGATCATCAATCCATTAATTTCGTTTGGTTCTATTTAACAAAAGGGATGATTTGGACACAAAATTTAATAACTGAATACCACTTTCAAACACTTTTAAAACGAGGGACTGAATTGACATTATTCAGCAAAACTGGGGACAAAATAGGCTATTAAACCTAATTTTTAAATTGAATGGACGTCAAATTAGTGAGGGCACCGACGTCTTGATTCTTGTTAAATCAGAAATCACGAATCCGCAGTTACGCGCACTTCATCGTCTTCCTCCTTGCCTTTTCTCTCTGCGGCGTTGCATTTCCAGGTGCGTCTTATCGCTTTTGAACCGTTTAAACTTACTTTTACTCCGATTAAATTAGTCTTTGATGGATTATCTTCCATTTGAACCGATTAAAATATGTTTTCATTGTGTTTTGGTGCAGTTTTTCTCGTGTCTTTGGTAGAGCTGTCAAAACGGGTAACCCGGCCCAACCCAACCCGATCCACCATGGGTTGGTCACTTAGTGAGCCAACCCAACCCAAGTCATTTATTAGCGAGCCAAAAAAATTCGAACCCGACTTGACCCACCACGGGTTGATGGGTTAAACGAGTTGGCTCATTGACTCATTTAATTAACTTTTTTTTCACCCTATTCTTCTCAGATTCTTATAACATGTTCCTTTGATCGATCAAATTGAAACACTAATAATTGGACCAATTGATATAAAAGAAAATGAAACAAAAGAAATATATTGTTATATATATTCTAAGCTATCCATAATAAAATTTTTGCCAATTTAGTTTAATGAGACATACACAACCGTTTGACCAAGAAACTACATATAGCCGTTAACAAAAATATATAGCACAAGATAAAACTGTCATGCTTGTAGATAGGTCTAAAAACAAGATAAAACAAATGATATATTACTGAATTATCCAATCTATAATATTATCCATCTATTAAATTGGAGTTCTGAATGGATAAATCCACAATATTATGCTCTCTTGAAGCATCTTCTTCTTTATCTCCATCTATTATATTATCCAATCTATAATCTTAGGGTTTTATTTGCAGAGGAAAACTTTTGGAAGACAGCAGCGCGAAAGGCTCTATTGCTAAGTAAAGGTTGTGCATTTTGAATAATTAATTTGATTTCAATAAAAAAAAAGGATTTGAATAATTAATTTAATTTAATTAAAAAAAATAGGTGGGTTGGTGAGCTAACCCGACCCACCATGGGTTCAACCCGTGTGAGTCGGGTTTTTAGTGAGCCGGGTCAAAATTGGATCGCATCAAAATATTTGCATTTTTTCCAACCCAACCTGGCTCAAACCCATGGTGAGTCGGGTTGGCTTATGGGTTTCAACCCATTTTGACGACACTAGTTTTTGGGTAGCGTAGTAGCACATTCTCCCTTTGCTAGTTTTCTTGTAAGAAACGCTTGCGTCTTTTAGATCTTTTATAGCATTTCAACCCAAAACCGAACCTGGGTCCTTGCCTAGTTCTCATGTCACCGTATTCTTTTTCATTGGCGGTTGGAATGGAACTAGGCAAGGACCCAGATTCGGTTTTCGGTTGAAATGTCATAAGAGATCCAAAAGACGCAAGCTTTTCTTATGAGGAAACAAAGAAGAAGGTGCTACTACGCTATCCAATGACACGAGCTGCAGTAGACGTCGATTAATGCTATGTCTGACGTCTATAGTGTCCTTAGATGTCGGTTTTGGTGTAATATGACGTCTTTATAAACGTCGGACTCTATAGGTCCAACATTCCATTAACGTCATCCATAAAAGTATCGGATCGGGATCTGACACTAAAAACCAAAAGTAATATACGTCTAAAGTCTTTTCTACACTAGTGTTCTATCTAATAAGGATGAAAATCTAAATGAATAAAAGAAAAAATTAAAATAAATATAAATCATAAATATAAATATAAATTACTAATTAATCATACTTTTTTGAATAACACCAAAAAAATTGGCTAAAAAAATTAACAACCATATTAATTATTGAAGTGACAGGCTATTTTATATTCTTTTCCTTCTTTTTAATATATTTTTGATATTTTAGTTCTTTTGTAATGTATTTCTGCCTTGCTAATTTGAATTTAAATTAAATTCTCAATAATCAGACATGTTAAATATTTTAACATTACCCTTTCTTGGAATAAAATTTTGGACAATGCCGGCGTCTATCTATCTATATATATATATNTCTTGGAATAAAATTTTGGACAATGCCGGCGTCTATCTATCTATATATATATATAATATATATATATATATATATATAATATATATATATATATATATATATATATATATAATTTTGCACAGTTGAATTGATGTCCCTTTCTTTTTCAAGATCTCTAGCGGCACAGTGTTATACATGATTTTTCAATCTTAAAAGATATTTTAACATAATCATATCTTGATATTTTTGTTTTCAGAAAAATGAAAAGACGAAAATGAAGAAGATGAAATAGAGAGAGAGAGAAAAAGGAAGAAGAAAAGATATCCGTAGTGATTGGGCATCAACTTGAACATAAAAGTTCAAACACAAACTGTTACAAACAAATGAACCTAACCAATAATCAACAACCAAAGGTACTTCATTATCGTCTTCATAACTTCAACCTTCTTCTCTCTTTCTTCACTTCAACTCAACAACAAACTCAAAAGCCATGGCAAACACTAATAACTTCTTAACCCAATTCTTAAACTGCACTTCAAAAAAGCCAAATACTTTAATCACCAACCTCTACTTCTGCACCTTCGCCACCTTCCTCTTCACCCTCTGTTACTTCCTTGGTCTATGGCACAACTACCCCACCACCACCGTCACCACTGCCACCGTAGCCACCGCCTCCAACCTCTGCTTCAATCCCACCACCAACTCCACCACTACCACCACCTCCGCCGTCCCATCATTCACCAACCTCGAATTCGCCGCCCACCATAACATGCCGGACCCGCCTCCCACCGCGGCGCGTGGACCACACCTCCCTCCCTGCGCGTGGTCCTACTATGAGTACACCCCCTGCGAGGACCAGAAGCGCTCTCTCCAGTTCCCGAGGGCCCGACTCGCCTACCGTGAGCGGCACTGTCCGGCGGCGGAGGATGTACTCCGGTGCCGGATTCCGGCGCCGTACGGATACAAACAGCCGCTGCGATGGCCGGCAAGCCGCGACGACGCGTGGTTCGCGAACGCCCCGCACAAGGAGTTGACCGTGGAGAAGAAGGGGCAGAACTGGGTCCGGGTCGAGGGGGACCGGTTCAAGTTCCCCGGTGGTGGGACTATGTTTCCACGTGGCGCAGACCGCTACATTGATGACATTGGAAAGCTTGTTAATCTCCGAGATGGGTCTATCCGAACCGCTATCGACACCGGTTGTGGGGTACGTTCATGTTATTTCTTCAACCGGAATCCCGGTTCGCCTCTTCCCGAACCGGTTCCGTCTCAAACTCTTTCTTTTTCCTCAGCCGGAGCCATTCCTTAATATCATGCATTAACTCCAGTATTTGTCATTTGGCTAATGTTCGATGCATAATTAACATGATTTTTAACACTTTTAATACAACACTATTATTTAAATTTTAGCAAAAATTTATAAATAAATCTCTTTGTTTCATCAGTAATATGAAAAATCTTTTAAAAATGTCAATTGATTACAATAGTTTTTGAGAAATTTTTACTTAAAATCTTAAAAAGTAGTATAATTATTTATGGATTTTGTAGGTTAGAAAATTTAGGTTTATGACGAAGGTTGAGTAGACCGGTTTATGATGAACCGGGTTTACTTTTGTTCTTAGTTCAAGGAATACTGAACTCTCGGTATGCACGAATGGTATTTCCCCCTTCATATTTTATGATGAATTTTAGGAATAATTCGATTTTTCATTTTAAAAATTTGAAATGGTAATGTGGGTTCATGGTGATATTAAATATGTGATTGGGATGCTTACTTGTATTTTCTTTTTGCGAAAATATCATTTTATTTTCAATTTGTTTTTTTATATATTTTTACAAGAAACTAGGAGTGTAAACATGGTAATTTAGGACAGACTAACTTATTTATTTATTATATATAATTTTTAATTATTATTTTAAAATAAGCTTATAATTTTATTATATTTTTAATAAATAAAACGTAGAATAGAATACAATGCCTTTGACGAAAGTTCCTAAGTGAGTTGACTTATTTTGGGAATATCATATTCTTGTGGACGAACGGCTCGTCGTTTCTTAAATGGTTTGACGAAGTTTCCTAAGAGGAAGAATAGTTAGGAAACAAATCGGTGAAATATGTTTTTAATTTTTAAAATTTGACATGAAATTAAAATTTATTTTTGATTAAAATTTTGATATATTTTAGTTTTTAAATTTAAGAAATAAAGAAATATAATTATTTTAAATATTTTTGATATATAAAACGTGTTTTTTAATTGACATGTAAACAAATTTAATATAGCTAAGTTAAAAAATATATTTATTTATTTTTTAAATTTTAAAATTAAATTGTATTAAAGTTTTTAACATGTCAAAATTTAAAAACAAAAAAGTACGATGAGATCTTATTTGTCTATGTTACTTTTATTTTTTTCATTTTTCTTGTTGGTCTTATAAAATGAGTTTAAAATAAGTGAAAAGTTGGAAAGTCAAGCTATTTATACGCTGGCGACATCGTATATACGCTGAAACATAGTATAATGTATAAATGGATACAGATTAATGTGTATTAGTTACATCAAATTTACTTTTTTTTTTCACTTTTCATTTTCCCAAATGAGAAAGAGAATAATAAAAGAAAAATCTTCTAATCCTTTACCTTCAAATCAAAGAAAAGCATAATTATTGAGATAGAAAATTTGCTATCTTATCGGAAAGCATGTGCCTTTTTTGGCTCAATGATTTAACTATACATTGCAATATTAAATTACTAGACAGTCCAAACTTGCTTTTGGTTCACTTTAAGGCAATCATAATCTGCTTTTCTATTTGTCTTTAAGTTGTTTGTTGAAATGCATGTGAGAGGGAAAAGCACAATAAGAAATTGACACATTGCAACCTAACCATCTCAATCATGCATTCCATTTCCTAATCTACAAGTTACCTACCCAGACTTCACAAGTTCACACCTTCCTAGAAATAGTAAAAATAATAATTTTATTATCATGTAATCATAAATTATTTTACAAGATAAAATTATTGATTTTTGTATTAATATCTTTAAAACTCATATCTAGAATTTTGCTGTGTGATATTTAAAACTATCAGGTTGCAAGCTTCGGAGCTTATCTTCTATCACGTGACATTTTAACAGTGTCATTTGCACCAAGAGATACTCATATATCACAGGTTCAGTTTGCTCTTGAACGAGGTGTTCCTGCATTGATTGGAATCCTTGCCTCAATCAGGCTTCCATACCCTTCAAGAGCCTTTGACTTGGCTCATTGCTCACGCTGCCTCATTCCCTGGGGCAAGTATGGTACACCCATTAGTCCCTAAACACTCCAAGGTCATATTTTGATGAATTTTTCAACAACTGTAAAAAATAGAAAGCTGAACTAATTAAATTTTTTGTATGAATGAAAATTAGATCATATGTAATCTGTAGAATTTTTCTCAGAGTGCCAATGATTTTGTGTGAGTGAAAGTGACAGTGCATTATTGTTTGTGGTATTGGCAGAAGGAGTATACTTGACTGAAGTAGATAGAGTGTTACGTCCAGGGGGGTATTGGATTCTATCAGGGCCACCAATAAACTATCAGAATCATTGGAGAGGGTGGGAAAGAACTCGTGAGAGTCTCAGAGATGAACAAGATGAGATTGAGGATGTGGCAAAGAGTCTATGCTGGAAAAAGTTGGTGCAGAAGGATGACCTTGCAGTATGGCAGAAGCCAACCAATCATGTACACTGCAAACTCAAGCGAAAGATCTTCAAGACTAGTAGACCCTTCTGTGGTGTGGCACAGGATCCTGACACAGCATGGTAATATCACAGTTTTAATTCAGATTTTGATGTTCATCTCATCAAGGCTAATAAGTTGAACAAACTAGATCAACATATTGGGCTGGTATATTAGTAATTGTCATATATAATGTTAGGGGTTGTTTGGTTGGAACAAAACAGTTTCTGATTTTTATTTTGATTATAAAAGTTCAACCTTGTTTTTACTTTAATGAACACTTTCCTTTATGTTTTTTCTTCATCAAGCCATTTTCGTTGCAGGTACACTAAGCTGGATACATGTTTGACCCCACTTCCTGAGGTAAAGGACATCAAAGAAATTAGTGGTGGAGGGCTGTCTAAATGGCCTAAGAGACTAACTTCAATTCCCCCAAGGATTAGGAGTGAAAGTTTGGAAGGAATAACAGCTGAGATGTTCACAGAAAACACTCGGTTATGGAAAAAGAGAGTGGCGTACTACAAGGGATTGGACCATCAGCTAGCAGAACGTGGAAGATATAGAAACCTGCTTGATATGAATTCTTACTTGGGAGGCTTTGCAGCTGCACTGGTTGATGATCCTGTGTGGGTTATGAACATTGTCCCTGTTGAGGCTGAAATCAACACCCTTGGTGTTGTATACGAACGTGGATTGATTGGAACCTATCAAAACTGGTATGCTTTTCTTCCTTTGCAGAGGAAATCTGAGTTGTTTGTTAAAAGAGAAGCAATACAAAAAGCAACATTTTTGTATGCATAATTAGATGAGCAGCAAGCATTTTCTTAGTTGATAGATTGAAACTTTTTATGTGGTCAAGGACCTATATCACTTATAGATTAATTACACCTCTGTTGAAGTGTCACAGTTCAGATATGTTTTTCACACTGCCACTAACACTTGTCTGATATAAATCAATGATCAGACACTTTTAGATTCTAATTCAATATTTAATTATAAAATCGTTTGTATTGGTTCATACACTTTTACAAATATTCAAAATTATGTTTCACTTGTTTTAGTCTCATTCTCATAGGATAATTACAAAACCTAGTAAGCTAGTTTGAGAAATAAATGTACCATTTTTAGGTAGGTCAAAATTGGTTAACGTGGTAGGTCAATTTATTCAACCCCTTTTATTACATGGATTGTGGATCACATACCGATTTGCCCATTTTTTTTATTTATTTTAGATTTTGATGAATTGTTTAGTTGAATATAAGTTTGCTAGTAATAATATTTTGTGTGGATTGTATATATTACACTCTTTATGTTAGGTTCTAGAAAACAAATGTGTCAAGATAATTTAAAAGGATAACATCGTGTAATTATGACATTATGGTTCTGTTTGGATAATTTATTTATATAATGAGTCATTCATTATTCTTATAACACTCTTTCTATTTTCTTAAACATGTTATGAAATAATGCCTCTTAATTTTTGTAACACTCATGTTCAAAAGGTAATGAATACATAAATTGTTTCTTGTGTTAGGGTGTGGGCTTGTAGGGTATCCTTTGTCATGATGTTTTGTACATTTACAGTGTTGTGTTGCGTGTCCGTGACAAAATCCATCTTTCACAGCTTACCACCGACAGCAACATTATGACAATGGGAGTTTAAATAATACCTGCTTTTGTGTGCCAGTGCCACACACCTTATTTTCTATCCTTTGTTATCTTTTACTATAGACAGAACACTGTTTCACGGATCCAATCCTTTTATCTTGTACTACAAAAATTAAATTTAAAATTCTGTATATGGATGGTATGGTTAAAATCCATAACTCACTATTTTGTTCTTCTTTCAGGTGTGAAGCCATGTCCACTTACCCCCGAACATATGACTTCATACACGGTGATTCAGTTTTTAGCCTCTACCAGAACAGGTAACACTAAGAACCGATTATATGTAATGGCCAAATCTAGAGAACTTGTTTACTCTAATATGTTTCTAAATCTTTTTTTCTCAAATTAATCAGTTTTCTAGTGCAATACTGACAAACAAATTTCCTGATTAATATGAAAAATAATCTGTATAAGTTATTTCTACTCATATTTAATATGATATTAGAACATAATTTTTAACTTTAATATGATATCAGAGCATAGTCTAATCATTGTACTGTTTTCAATAAATTATGAAGTTGTTATTAGACCATATTCATATTTAGTTTTACAGATTTCACACTCCATGTAATTGGATTGAGTTAGACCAATCAGGTTCTCAACTTGAATGAAGTATTATAGGTCACGGACAACATGAATTGGGGAAAACTCAAGTTCTACAAATCATTAAACACAAACCAATCCTAAATAACACAACCTGTGTTTCTAGTTACCTTAAGAAAAACCTTAAGTCAAAAAATGTGACTAACAGACTATAAGTCAAAAACTGTGAAATTTTACTAAGTTTTTGAATTAATGTGCTACAGATGTGATATGGTGGACATTCTTCTAGAGATGGACCGGATTTTGAGGCCAGAAGGTAGTGTGATTTTGAGAGATGATGTGGATGTGTTGACGAAGGTGAAAAGCATTGCAGATGAAATGCAATGGGATGTCAGAATTACAGACCATGAAGAAGGACCTTATGAGAGACAAAAGATACTGATAGCAGTTAAGGAGTATTGGACAGCCCCTCCTCCAGAGAGAGACCAACAGAGCAAGCACTAGTTTGATTCTATTCTTTTCATGTCAATTTTCTCACGAATCAATTCTTTCAAACCCCGATTTTTGTGAGTGATGCAAGGTGAAACTTTCTTTGCAAAATTATGGCCCCTGGAATGTTGAGGCATTCTTTCATCAAATTTTAATATAAAGGTAAGGGATGTAAATTGATAGGAACAGGAAAAGGAACTGGTGATGAGTAAATACCAATTGTAATGTTTCTCATGTTGTCTCCGTATGTTGCCATAACATGCGTCTTGTCTCCTTACATAGAATGACATCCGACATTTTTTAATGTTTGATTACTTTTGTTCCCTTGTTCAAAAGCTATTAAGTACTGAATATCATAATGTCCTAACATATCGGTTCTATTTATCTCCATGCCATGAAGTATCAAAAATATTGTGTTAGGTACTTGGGCTTGAAACCTAACAAGAACACACTCAGAAGATATGGAAGAATGGATTTTTCTATTATTCACAGTAAAAGAATCCTTTTTACAAAGAATAGGTTGGGAGCATAACCTTCCTGGTTGAGGACATAATCTCCTTCTACAGGTTAAAGATCTGACTTTACACAATATACTCTGTATCCTTTACAGAGTTACAAGAGCTCTATTTATAGCAGTTCTGACTCGTTCCCCTTTTTACAACTGACACAACCGACACCCCGCATGCCCTTAACTTTTAAACCCAATCTATCCTATTATCCTAGATCCTAACATATTGTCTGCAATTTCGTACCCTTGATCCTGTTTGCAATTCAATACTTTCATCTGGTTTAACATGTTTAACCAAATAACATCAGAAAAATACATATTATACATAACTTGCAAGCACCAAGCCCAATGTCACTGACAGCAAAAACTGGATATAAAATTCGCTTGGTGTCTCTATGAGTGTAGTGAAGTTCAGGTTCTCTAACTCTAACATTGACAAGTTATGATGAGTTTTGGTTTTTCCAAAGCACCATCATATTCACAGGAATGAAGGTAGATGAATGGAATCTATCCATTGATGCATTGACCTACTGATTTGACCAAGTTAATGACTGCCAATGTTTTGAAAATTCGTAGTAAAACGCCATTCAAAGTGAAAACCATTTCAAGCTGAAAATACTCTTCAAGTGTTTTTGTAATTAGTGGGAAAGATAGGTGAAATATTTTTTACTGCATGACATATTACAATGTTCTCGTGACTCTGATTTTTCTGTCAATGTGGTCGTACTTGGTAGTTCCCGAGATGGATTACACAACTTATCAAAAAACTGTGTTTCATATTTAATGTTGCATTTTTGTTTGATGCATAATTAGAGTTTGCATGCATTATTTTGAATTCACTTGTGGGCATGATGAATTTGCTTTGCAGTTCACGATGAATTTGCTTTGCAGTTCACGATGAATTTTTTGTTCAATTCAAGCAGAATGATCGAAAAGCGCGATTTGACTAGAGATAAAAAAATGTGATTAATCTCTTTTCAATCCCTAAGCTTCGACAGAATAAATTTAGGAAGTCAAAAAGGTAAGAGGGTGCACATATTCATCCAACCAATCTCAAACTAAAATCTCAGATCTTTTCATTGCACTATAAACGAATGATGAAAATACGAAACAGAAAATCAGATGCATCAAATGATAATGTATTTTTGTTCAATAGCCAATCATTTCCTTTCAAAATGAAATTTTTTAATGATAAGTGACTTTTACACAACAAAAATTACTATGTACATAAAGTGTTTTTTTAATTAAATATGTTTCTTTAAAAGTAACTTCCACAACATTTATTTTAACTAGTTATTTGAAGTGGCTTATGAAAAAAAGTCATTTTCAGTTAATTTTAATTTCCTGTTTTTTGTTAAAATAGTTTAAGTAATGAGTGATTTTTTTTGTTAAGACTTACCAGAAACAGACCTTTTAAACGTTGCCAGAAACAAACCTTAAAACTTACCAGAAACAATCATGACATGAAAACAAAATAACACAACCTCGTTAAAACGTTAGCGGTTAGGATTCATGTAAACGTTGGGTCGTATCACAAAGCGAAATTATATATTTGCCACGCATTCGCCAATTCATTATCATAATCATAAAAAAGTATCAGAGTAACGCTTCACACTTCTCTGCTCCAAATTCAAACTTAACCATGGCAATGCTGTTTTTCTGTCGCAGAATTCATCCACTCTTCGTTTTCCTCTGCATAATCCAGAAAATGTGCCTTTTTCATATCTTCTTACTCTTTGCTTCACTGTTTTGCAGGAACATCAATTTGAATGAAGCTAAGAATGCCCATTTTGCAGAAGTATGAGAACTCGGTTCATAAAGCTTCTTTTGTTTTCTTTAATGTTAAATATTTTCTTGGAAATTGAAAATGTACTAAACATGTCTCTTACTACTTTTTCCGGTGAAGGGAAAAATCTTGCACTGTTGGAAATAAGGAATAATTGGTGAAAATTGACTTTCTGTATACTAACATCAAGAATCTTTAACATATTGTTTGGGAGTTCTGTTCTTACAGTTTTCTAGAATTCACCTGGCTTTCAATAAAAATCAACGAAGATGGAAGTAAACTGATTGCAATCTATAGAAGGAAAATGTTTTTTTAACAACTTTTCTGTAGGTTTTCTAATATTCATTATATTTGTATAATTGAATTTCTTCTTTTCCAATCTTTCTGATTCTTTTTGCTGAGTTGAATTTACATGGAAAAGAAAGAGAAAGCAGTACGCGAGATTATGGAAGAAGAGGAAGAGCTTCAAGTTCATGATTTAGTAGAAAATAGAAAGAAAATCAACAGTAGCAGAAACCCATAAGAGGTGTGTATTCCTGTAAGCCCGATCGTTTTTTTCATACACATATACAAGATCAGTTTTTATTATTAAAAGAAACAATGTTACCCTCTGAAGTTTTTTGAATATTCATTTTACTTGTAGAATTCAATGTCTGTCCACTTGCCTGTGATGGCTGATGTTGCTTTTCCTAATTCTTTTCAGGTCACTGACGATGACCTTGTGTCACCACAAGCTGTTGAAGAAAAGGAAATACATCTGTTGACGAGTTTCTGAGTTCCTGCCCTTGTGACATGAATATTTGCTTCTGCTGTTAGTTGATATGAATAAAAAGCGTAACCCTAAACCATTGGATCATCTTTGGGTGGTCAATATAACAACCTAATTAAAGGTTACATGACTTTAACCCTAAACCATTGTCTATCTATGCAAGATGCAATGGTCAGTAACTCACAGTTAGATCCTTTCTCCACTCAAACAAAATAGTTACCGTGGCTTCTACTTCTATCACGGCATAAATAAACACCGATTTCTAATTTTTCTTGTCATTCTCTTGTTAATTTTGACAGTACATTTTCTTATTAGTCAAGCATTGTTTTAGTCAGTCTCCTGTCAGATCATTGCTTCATTGCCTGTTTTGCCTGTTTCTGATAGTTTAAGATTGCCTGCCAATTCTTTATCTTCTTGTTGAGCACAAGTCTTACCAAGTCAACCTTTACATGAATCCTGAAACAATATTTTATTGAAAGTGAGAGGAACTTGAGAAATCATATTGAATAAAATTAAAAAAAAAAAAAGTGGTATGTTTCGATCTATGAGTATACGTTGCATACAGGGTACTTCCATCTTCATTTTTCATTGAAAGCAAGGTAAACTTTAGAAAACATGTAAGAACAGAAGTCTCAAACAATATGTTAAATGTTCTTGTTGTTAGTATATAAATTGTCAATTTTCACCGATTATTCATTACTTTTAACATATTGTGCAGTAGCTGCAAAAATTTTCCCTTCATCGAAAAACATAGTCACAGATTCTCATAACATGTTTAGTACATTTTCAATTTCCAAGAAAATCATTAAGATTAAAGGAAAAAAAAAAGGCTCTATGAACCAAGTTGTCCTATTTCTTCTCTTCAAGAAAATGGGTATTCTTAGCTTCATTCAGATTGACCTGATGTTCATGTCAAACAGTGAAGCAAAGAGTTAGAAGATATGAGAAAAGCACAATATATTCGAATTCCCAAATTAACTAAAGATAAGTTTATAGCATATAAGTGAATGCAAACTTCACTTTGAAAGTCAATTTTGTGGGTCGAGTTTGGCTTAAAATCTACTTCTTAAGATAATATCATTCCACTCGTTATCTGGTCGTTATTTGACCATCCATTAATGTCTAGTTTCACGCTCGAGATGTATATAGCTTAGCGTGAGGGGTTGTGTTGAAAGTCTCAAATCGGCTAGAAATAAGGTTATTTAAAGCATATAAGTGGATGCAAACCTCATGTTACCAGCCAATTTTGTGGGGCGAATTAGATTTAAAATTCACTTCTAAGCATAATATCATAGAGCCTTGCGTTAGATTATATCCTACGAGAATTTTGTTTATCGAGCATACTATTTCACCTGTTATCAGACCATCCACTAATGGCTAGTCCCACGCTTGAGATATATGTACCTCAGCGTGAATGGGTGTTTGGAAGTCTCACATTTACTAGAAATAAGGTTATTTTGAGTATATAAAAGGGTGAAAACCTCACATTACAAGCCAATATTTTAGAGTCAAGTAAGGCTTAAAATTCATTTCTTAACATGGTTCACAGCCATGAGTTTGAGCCTATCTTAGTGAGATCAATTGTTTGTTGGACTTATCATGTCACCCGCTATCAAATTGTTATCAGATCAACCATTAATGTTTAGTCCTACACCGGTGATGTATATATCTTGGCGTGAGGAGATGTGTTGGACATCCTATATCGACTATAGATAAGGCAATTTTATAGTATATATGTGGTTACAAACCTCATCTTACAAGTTGGTTTTGTAGAGTTGAGTTAGGCTTAAAGTTCACTTCTCAACATGGTATCAAAGTCATAGATTATAGTCTTTCCTACGAAATTTGATATTTGTTGAGTCTATTGTTTAACCCACTATCGGTCCCCTATTAGACCATCCATTGATATCTAATCTCACGCAAAGATATATGAAGGATGTATTGGAAGTCACACATCGACTAAAGATAAGATGCATATACCTTAATGTGAGAGAGTGGATTGAAAGTCATACGTCAACTAAAGATAAGATATATATATCTTAACGTGATAGAGTTGTATTGAAAATCACACAACGACTAAAAATAAAGTCAATTTAAATATATATATATATATATATATATATATATATATATNGTTCGTTCTAATTAGCGCTCGGTCTTATACCGAAGCG